TTGTATTTTATTTTCAAGTTTGTGGTCATGTCTGCATCGGAGGTGTATTGGAGTCTTTTCCTGTGATTGCCGTCGTAGCGGTGCTAACAACAGGTGAGCTTCGTTAATGTTACTAAATTAGCCTCTAGCTGCTGTTCTCCACTAACTCACAGAACAGGTTGACTTTTTAAAGAGAGGAACATGCTAGCAATATATTAATATAGCAAGTTTTGCTGATAAATATTACAAATGTTTATTTTATTCAAATGTAAATTGTTACTGTACGGCAGTTTTTTTCTGATCATAAACTACAGTAACACAAAAATGATGTTGTGACTCTGTCTGTTACAGGAGATTTCTCCAAGCAAAAACAGAATCCTGACTATGAGAGGCAGAATCATCATACAGCCAGCTGTCCATTTTACAGAAATGCAGAATTAGGTAACACAAAATACATTTTGTTTTACTTTGCATTTACATTTATGCATTTGCAAGATTCTTTTATCCAAAGCAAGTTACATTGTATTTAAAGTACACATTTTATTAAGTTATTCATTCCCTGGGAGTCTAACAGGGGTGGAGCTAGGGGTGGGCTAAGGGGGCCGAAGCCCCAAATGTTTTTATTAGTGTCTAATGCACATCAAGATTGAGTTTTCATGCGCATTCAAATTATTTCTATAAAACCAGCACTTAAACAGCAAAATGCAGCTGCTTCAGGTATCTTTAACTTGCTGTAGCCTATAAATTCATAATACCGATCTCACTGTCAAAGTTAGATTATTGTTACTGTATAGCATCAGATATAGATTAAGTAGGCCTATTATATGCACAGACTTTCTTGGATACACACACACGCATTTAGAGCGATTATATGAACAGATTAGTTAGCATTTAGCCTGGTCTGTGGCAGGCTTTACTAAGAGTCAGGGCAACAAAATTCAATAAACAAGAAGTTAATATTAAGAATAGCTAATATTAAAATAATAAGTGATTTAAATTGTGAAGAAAATATTGTCTTTTTGCTCTATTTCGCAAAAACGGTTCTAAACAAAGCCATGTTGTGCATCTCTTCACACAGCAGTGTTTCATTACAGAATTAATTTACCTTTTTTGAAGGCCTTGAATCAGTGATTCACTGACCCTTTCATAAAACATAAAAACAGTTTCTTACTTAGTTCCTGAATGAATCGGCTGTTTTTAACGAATCGATTGAATAAATGACTCAACGACTTTAAATATTATTAATTAAAACATTAATTTCATATTATTTATGCAATTTGTAAGTGCAGATTATAATTAATTATACTTGTGTCTTTAAAAATAAAAAATTAAGCCACTTAACCAATGTAACTTTTCAGCATAGCCTATTTTATTTGAAGTATATCCCGTGTATTCTGATACATGCATTAATGTTTCTGGGCTAAGCCCCGGATATCCACTCACTGTAGAACTGCCCCTGGAATCAAACCCATAAAATAATTGTTTACTGTGCAGTACTACAATTGGATTGTTTTTACATGTAAAAAATGATTAAACTAAATGAAAATAAACTCTACAGTACTGATACTGTAAATGAAAATACGGTAATACTACGTGTTATTTGAACGGGAGCGGGCGGTCTAACAATATCCCATTCCCGACGTCCCTTCAGAACAACATATCTGTCCTTTATTCTTATTGTACAGCCTGCACTCAGGACTGTTATGCATGCGCTGCACTCATGAACCAGCGCTTTCTGAGTCACGCATTTTATTTGCGAGGTCTGTGCGCAGCTCAGAGCAGGCTGTAAACCTACCGGTGGTAAATACGGTCCTCAGACAGAACAGGCAGGTTGTCGATGAGTGACAGAGCAGAATAAGGATGGAGCAAAGTGTGGCTGCGCTGTCCTTGACGGATGTTCAACTCGGTTTTGTTTATATTTTGCTTAGCCTATCATTTTAAATGACAGATGTATTTGCGTATTTATTTATTTATTTTTCTCTGCGACACTTTTCCTACTGTGTGTACAGCAAAATGTTAAACGAATTTAGTATTTTCACAAGAGGAATACAAATAGGCTATTTCTGTACAACCTACATTTTTATTTTATTTTTCTCTGTGACACTTTTCCCTATTGTTGTAAATGTTAAACGAATTGTATCCTGACAAGACGAATAAAAATAAGAAATACAATTTTTGTACAACATTTTTATTTTCTCTGTGACACTTTTTTCCCCTACTGTGTTGGCAGCATTTGCTGTCAGTAACTTCAAGACTCTTGACAAGACGAATTATATCAATTTAAATGTGAGATTCTGGAAACGAGATCTAAATTTAGCGGGAACGGTCGGGTCGGGAAGAAAATGATTCTAAGCGGACAGCGGGCGAACAGAGAGTGAATATATAGCGGGAGCGGGACTAAAAAAAACAGTCCTGCGCAGACCTCTAGTGTACATCTGCAAGTCTGTACTTACATATATCTTTCAGCAGGTTTCTTTTGTCCTGCAAACTTTTTTGTCTGGCTTCTGCTTTTTCTTTGGTTTTATTTCTCTTGCTCTGAATGTCAAGCAGCATGTCATCTTGCGTTTCAAAATGCTTGCCATTGTTTGCTGCCACAACATCATCAATTTTGACAAGTAGCTCTTTGACTCTATCACTTTTGTTTTTGAAATCAAAAGCATAGTATCTTTTTCCACATCTCTCTAGGATTTGCTGCAGATCTTCTCCTTGATTCTCTATGTGCTGCTCGGTGGATTTGTCCTTTAGTGAATCAGCTCCTGTAAAGATCACTATTGTGCGTTTCCAGACTCTCTCACCAAAGAGACCAAGGTGCTCCTCAATGCTGAGTCTGTTTTCTTCAGTAAAAGGCAAACTGAGATTAATGACTATGAGAAAGACGTGAGGCCCTGTTTCACACAGGAAGACACTGCAAGCCACTTCCTGTTTGATAACCTCTGGTGAGTCTTGCAAACTAAATTTCTCCCACCAACATGCAGTGTTGATCAGAGTTATTTTCCTTCCATTCACTTCACCGTCTTTCTTCACAGACTTCACAAAGTATTTGTCAGTTTCAACTTCAAGACCTAAAATGCTGTTTATCACTGAGGCTTTGTCAGATTTCTGCCACCCCAGAACAACAGCTCTTATTTCTGTCAGAAAAGAAACATCATTGGAAAGTCAAACTTTTGCAATTATTTTAATAAAGCAAGGTTGGAAGAGATAATCTTGCAAGTAAATAGTACACAAAAAAATATTTTACAAACCACCCTATGTAGCTTGAAATATTCAAATCTGATTTTTGAAAATGAAAATGAACATTTTTAACAAATCCGATTTCAAGTTGTTTTTGTTGTTCTGGGTATGACGTGCAAGGAACATACATAAAGGACAGTCGTGCACAAGATAAATGTTCAAATAGTTGAGTATTCTCTCTTGTTTACAGAAAACATTTAAATGTTTGTATCAATCAAAAGCAAAATACATTTGGCATCTAAGCCTGTGAACTTTACCTGCTTTCATCTTCCTTGCCTTCTTATGTGTGATCCAAACGAAATCTTTAAGAAGGGAAAAAAACTAGCATGAAATATAAAAATAAATAAAACTAACAAATATACTAGACTGACACTTCAGCTTGATAGGCTGGTGTTTAGAAATAAGGCAGGAGTATCTTAACCTGTGTAATTAAATGTGTACTGTATGTAATCTTACATAATGCATGCGTAAAAATATTTTATTCATAAAAAGTATAGAAAAAAAAATGTATAGACTCTTTGTTAATTTATCATTAATTTTACTTAAGATTGAGAAATACCATCCCTTGAAGAGTGCAGTATTCTTTGTGGTGAAGTAGAACAGATACTTCCTGTTTTTCTGTTTCTACCATCAATTTATCCCCTCGTCACAGCCAACCCGATCAATATATCAAACATCCATTCACAATTTAGCATCTTCATTGTCTTGGCATAATGTTGTTCACAGAAAATTCAACATGACTCGGCAGGAAAAGTACCAAGTTTGGTACATATATGTGTAATGTTTATTTAGGTAAAAGGGGGCACTACAGGACCCGCCGCCACACCCTATCTAAAAGCCAAAGGTTTTTAAATCATGGCAAAACATCCAAAACCTTGAGAAGAATAATAATAATAATAAAAGAACAATAGTGCCTTTTGCACTTTTAGTGCCCTAATGATACAGCAGCAGAAAACTGCCATGTGCAACATATTTAAAAATCTGGGTTAAAACACTTTGCTGGGTTAAAACAATTTATATTACAATTAGTGCATTATCATGCTAAAAACATGTAAGTCTCACATCTCACCTGATCACAGGCGTGTTAAAGCCTCTCCTGATATGACCAGCACAGTATCTGACAGACAGCAGCTAAACTCAGCGCTTCAGAGTGAAACCTGTCTCAGAGTAAACTTCAGTCATTCCAAAATAAAAGTCACAGAAGAGCAGCATCACTGCCTCATTTTAAAAGAAATAGTAAATCCAAAAATGAATATGATGTCATAATTTCACACCGGCATGTCTTCCTAAACCAAAAACTGGTAGTTTACATAAATATTAAACATAGACAAGTCTTTCTGAAATGCCAACAACTGCTGTATTATTAGCCTGATAAAATACAAGTATGTTAAATCACTAAAACACAGTTAAAGAAACCAAAAGATTCAAGGCTTACTATGAGACAATTCATTTGCATACTTATTTATTTTTTGACACCAGACTGAATCCATGTGACTCAAAGATCTAGAAATACAGGCTATTAAGTAAGCGTGATTTGAAAATTACAGCTTATGAAATGCTTCAAAAATATAAGATACTGATAGTGATGCATATTAACATGCAACTAAGTATATAATGAGGCACACATTAACAAAGCACGTACTGCTGACAACATTTCACCATTAGAAATCATCTCCATCATAATGTTCAGGCACACTGATCTGACAGCGGGCGTTTGGGAATATAATTGTTTCCTGGCACTGCAATGACACTGAAGGAAAAAATGTGCAAAGAAAAAATGTTAACAGCTTTGCTACAATCCAAATACAATACAAGACAATGGGAAGAAGAAGAAGAAAAAACTGAGGGAATATATACACAACGAGCAACTAAACAAGACATATGGATGCACTTTATTGGGCTTCTTTTGGACTATTGAAAAATAACACCCATTCACTGCCATTATAAAGCTTGGAAGAACCAGGATATTTTTTTATAAACCTCCGGTTGGATTCGTCTGAAAGAAGAAAGTCATATACAATTAGGATGGCTTGAGGGTGAGTAAATTATGGGGTAATTTTCATTTTTAGGTGAACTATCCCTTTAAAGATAATTTGTTTTATTTGCAGATGGAGAATGTGATAAACTTTATACCACACAGCTGCGTGAAGGACAACCCAACTTTGTTAATTGAAATGTGACCCTGGACCACAAAACCAGTCTTAAGTGTCAATTTTTCCAAATTGAGATTTATACATCAAATAAGCTTTCCATTGATGTATGGTTTGTTAGGATCAGACAATATAAGACCGAGATACAACTATTTGAAAATCTGGAATCTGAGGGTGCAAAAAAATCTAAATATTGAGAAAATCGCCTTTAAAGTTGTCCAAATGAAGTCCTTAGCAATGCATATTACTAATCAAAAATTAAGTTTTAATATATTTACAGTAGGAAATTTACAAAATATCTTCATGGAACATAATCTTTACTTAATATCCTAATGATTTTTGGCATAAAAGAAAAATCAATAATTTTGACCTATACAATGTATTTTTGGTTATTGCTACAAATATACCCCAGCGACTTAAGACTGCTTTTGTGCTCCAGGGTCACAAATGAATAAAAAAAATTAAAAAAGGAAACATGGATCACAAGGAATACTACCAAAAAGCCAAGTGTGCAACCTGCATCAGCTAATGTTTCATTAAGCAATGTCATAGGCATGACAGACCAGCAGATGCCAATGCAGAAGGCACCTATGCTCAAAGTGGAGTGTATGCAGAAAAGCCTAAAAACAAACCAGGAAAAAGGATTCCCAAGAGTCTATGCAGCAGCAGGAGTTGGACGAGCTTGTGCTGAATTCAGTGTATTTGAGGCTGAAGCCAAAGGTCCAAACACCTCAGCTGGTGCTGAAGCCAGTGTGGCTAGACTCAGGGCCGGAGCAATGGCTCGAGCTGAAATTGGCAGTGCGTCAGCTAAAGTTGACACGGGTGTATCTGCTGGTGTGGAGGTCAAGTTCTTGGGAACCAGATTCTCAGTTGGACCAAAAACATGTATATCGGTTCTGGGTTCAGAAGTGTCATTTTCAGTCATGTAATCAGACAGGTATTACTTATCTTTAAATGTATTTATATGTAATATTTTACTACCAGGCCGTGAAGATATAAAGCAACTTAAAAATAAATAAATAACTTTAACCAGTTTCAAAGCAAATTTAGTATTGCTGTTGAGCTACACAGAATTATACTTTAACAATATGAAAACAATGTTTTATTTTAGATTTTGTAATTCTACAATTGTTGAGATGGTTGTTTTATTTAAGAATAAATATCTGTATTTGGTTATGCAGGTTTGTTTAATTAGATTACGCCAGCACCAGTATGGATCCAACAATTGCGAAGATTTCAGGGCAACACCAAAAATTGCAAAGACTTCAGATGATGCCAACCTTGGATCAACATACAAAACTGTCACATATTATCCTTATATTGTAATCATTACAAGCACAAGCTGTAACTGTTGTCTAACATGTCTGTTGTACTTAGCTGAATACTAATCTTAACTAATATAATGTGTTATATATTACAGCCATATGGACATTACTTTGATAGTTCATCTGTGGCTTATTACAGAATACTTTCTAGTTTTAACATTGAAACAAGAATTATCTGTAAAGCTGCTTAGAAGCAATACATATTGTGAAAAGTGCTATACAAATAAACCTGAATTGAATGTTTATTGCTTTTCTCTTCAATACTGTCATTCCCAGTGTAACTGTGTTCACAGGTATTTCTGGAGACTTTTAATATCAGTCCTTTTCTATTTATACAATATTAATCTAAAAAAAACAACAACAACAAAAAAAAAACAAATCTGCAGTTCTTTTGTTCAAACAATAAGAAAGCAGCTGTGTTTGTCTCTCTATGAATTTCCAACAGATCTGCATAAGTGGATTCAGCCAATTCAATCTAAAGGTCATTCATAACTATTGAAGGGGGAAATTAAGCTTTTCGAAACTTCAAATCAACTGAACCAATTGCTTGGTAATGAAATAATGCTTTGGAAATTACTTTCATGTATTTTCATTTAAAGCAATCAACAATATTCTGAAATACACGGATCTAAACTTTGTATTTCCTTTTCCTTTACTGGGCACTTGACTTTCAATTTGGCACATTTGGCCATCTTTTTCCATAAATGTCTTCAGTTGTGGTTATGTGACCAACTACACAAATGCAAGATTTTGGTGTATTTATT